GTGGGAAAAGAAGTGGCAGGTGGAACACAATGAAGGAAAGTGTGAGCTTTTACACTTTGATGGCAAGAATAGAAGTGTACACTATTTTCCAAATGGGGAAAGGCTTTGGGAATCTGAAGCATAAAGCGACTTGGGAGTCCTAGTTCAGGATTCTTTTAAGGTTAACATGCAGGTTCAGTTGGCAATTAGGAAGGCAAATGCAACGTTAGCGTTCATTTCAAGACAGCTAGAATACAAGAGCAGAGATATACTGCTGAGGTTGCATAACGCACTGGTCAGACTGCATTTGTAAGCAGTTTTTGGCCCCGTATCTAAGGAAGGATATGCTGACATTGGAGCAGACCCAGAGGAGGTCTACATGAATGATTCTGGGGATGAAGGGCTTGTCATGTGAAGAGCGGTTATGGACTCTGGGTCTGTACTCGATGGAGTTTAGAAGGATGAGGAGGGGGATCCAATTGAAACGTACAGAATACTGAAAGGCTTGAATGGAGTGGACATGAAGAAGATGTTTTCACTAGTAGGAGAGACTATCACTTGAGGGCACAGCCTCAGAATGAAGAGGCAATCCTTTAGAACGGAGATGAGAAGGAATTCCTTCAGCCTGAGGGTAGTTATTCTGTGGAACTCATTGTCACAGAGGGCTCTGGAGGCCATGTTATTGAATATATTTAAGACATGGATAGCTAATTTCCTGATCGGTAAGGGGATCAAGAGTTTCAAGGAGAAGAGAGGAGAATCTACTTGAGAAACATTATCAGCCATGATGAAAATTCAGAGCAGACTTGATGGACCAAATGACCTAATTCTACTCCTATACCTTATGGTCTTATGATCGTCACACAAAGGAAGGATGTGATTGCACTATGGAGGGTGTAGTGGCAACTCATCAGGATGTTGCTTGACCTGGAGACGTGCAGTTATGAAGAGAAACTGGATAGGTTCGGGTTGATTTCCTTAGAGCAGAGAAGGCTGAAGAGGAATTCAGATGGAGGTGTACAAGATTCTGAGGGTCATTGACAGGATAAATAGGGAAAAACCTTTCCCCTTAGATGAAAGTTCAAAAACCCGGGGGCATAATTTTAAAGTAAGGAGCAAGAGGTTTAGAGGGGATTTGAGGAAGGTTTTTCCACCTAAGTGCTTGTCATATCTGGAATTCACTGCATAAAAGAGTGGCAGGGATGGGGATCCTCAAGACATTTAAGAACTGTTTAAATGAGAGCTTGAAATGTCATAGCATACAAGGCTACTGGCCAAGTGCTGGAAAAGGGATTAGAATTGGTGGTTGTTTGGAGATCAAAACAGAAACAATGGCCTGAAGGACCTCTTTAAATGGTATAAAAACTCAATGAATTTTCATTAAGCTCCACCTACTGTAATGACTTTATACAGTATATGGGTGGAGAAGAAGCAGTTTAACACAAGGTCCCGATGGAGATCTGTGTCATCTCTGGTTTTATGAGCTTTTGTAATCATGCCTAATTGGTCAATGTAACTTGTACACATTGCTATCATACAATAAACAACATCTTGTTGTGTAACACAAGTGCCTATTCTCAGTAAATATCAATATTCTCTCCATCCTGTTAAAGACGATGAAGAGGATGTTTGTGTTGAAATGTAAATGTCCCTATCTCTGAGCCAGAAGGCCTGGGTTCAAGTCTCACCTGCTCCAAATGTGTCTATTAACATATCTGACCAGGTTGATTAAAAATATCAAGAAAGGATGCTTGCTTGCAGCACTCTATGCTAACCATAAACCACCAGTAGTTTGTAGTGCAACAGTATTGAACAAAGTTTGGTAATCCAAGGACAAAAAGAAGGTCCGCATTTAGGGTGAAAAGAAATGAATGACGGAAGAGTTAGTTTTCTAGGGCCAAAGAGTATTGTGTTTGGGCAAGAATGAAGCCAAGAAACAAAGAGCAGGTGTGCTACTTGCTGAAAACAATGAGAACCAATACAAGAAAAGGAAACAAATACAGGTAGACATGAGTCTGGAGTGCTGTAAAGTGTCTTAAGTTGAGTTTCAGTGGAACAGTGCAGTTGGCCAAGAACGGAGACATCAGTGTTAGAGTAAGGTGGGGAATTAAAATGACATGGCACTAGAAACTTGGGATCATGCTTGGGGACTGAACAGAGGTGGCCCACAAAGTAATCACCCAATATGCATTTGCTCTCCCGAGTATAGAAGAGACCAGTGAATATGGTGAACCATTTTGAAAATAGTACATGTAAATCACTAATTCACATGAAAGGAGTGTTTTGTTGCTTTAGATGGTGACACGGGAAGGAAAGGGGGTGTTGGGCATGATTAAGCAATAGATCTAGCAGTACCAACCATCATTAACTGTATTCCTGAACATTTCAGGACACAACCTGTCCCATGCTCCCATTATTAGTCAGCCAACATCTATTTTGTTTTATGCCCACCTTGCTAGGCCAATTGAAGAGCAAAAGACTAATTTTTATTTTATTCATTTATGGGATATGAGCATTTCTGGCTAGATCAGCTGAGCTGAGATGACTGATCTTCAACAATATCAATCATCTTCCTTTGTACCAGATATGACTAGGACCAATGGAGATTTCTGTCCCAATTCCAATTGACTGCAGTTTTGCTTGGGTGCCTTGATGCAACACACGGTCAAATGAAGCCTTGATGTCAAAAGCAGTCATTTTCACCTCACCTCTGGAGTTCAGCTCTTTTGTCCATGTTTTGACCAAGGCTATAATCAGGAGCTGAGTGGCCCTGGCAGAACTCAAATAGAGTGTCAATGAGCAAGTTATTGGCAAGCAAGTCCTGCTTGATAGTACTGTTTATGACACCTTATGTCACTTTACTGGTGATCAAAAATAGGCTAATGGACTGTAATTAGCCAAGATGAATTTGCCCTGCAGATTGCACACAGGACAGACTGGGGCAATTTTCCACATTGGCAGGTCGATGCCAGTGTGTTGTAACTATACTGGAACAGCTTGGCTGAGGTGCCACAGGTTCTGGAGCACAAGTCATAAATAGTCTTGGCGGAATGTTGTAAGGACCCATTGTCTTTGCAATATCCAGTGCCTCCAACCAATTCTTGTTGTCACATATTGGTTCTGCGGATTGCTGAAGAATAGCTTCTGCGATGTTGGGGCCTTCTGGATGATGCTGAGATGGATCATCCACTCAGCACTCCTAACTGTAAGTGGCCACAAATGCTTCAGCCTTATGTGTTCCACAATTACCCAATTGAATTATGCTTGACTGTCAGTCAAACAGTCTTTTATTTTTACACATGGTCAAAAGAAATATACGATAAAACAGGCAATACAGTCCATTTCGTGTGCCATTGATTTTTTTTACCCTCCCAGGTTGCACATAGCAGTGTCTTGCAGATTGTTCTTCAATCTTTAGGCCATTACGGGAGAGTTGTCAACCCTAAATGGATTAAGTATCAAAGCGAGAATGATCCCTTTGGAATGCTGAAAGGGGAAGAGAGAGGAAAATGGAAAAAGCAGAGAGTGAACACTAAAACTGGTGAGATGGGAAGTGAGGACAAGAAGAACCCTACTATGGCCGTCAGAGGGACAGGAAGGAAATATAGTGACAAGATTGAGGCCCTGTCAACCAATGTGGGGGCTGTCTTTGTTGGGAAAAAAGAAGACTCCCAAGAAGTGCTGTTCTGGAAAGTTGCAACATCAGAACAGATAAGATAAAGGAATTAGGAGTGTAATCCTTACAAGGTGAAAGAAAGTGTGGTCAAGGTAGCAGTGGAAGTCGGTGGGCTTATAATGAATATTAATTGATAGCTCATTGTTCCACCAACAGTCTCTTTGGCTCTTCTAAACTAACTCTTCTGTCATGTCATCTCAGCTTGAGGACACTTTTGCAGGAGTTCCTCAGGGTAGTGTCCTAGGCCCAACCATCGTCAGCTGCTTCAGCAAAGACCTTCCTTCCATGATAAGGTCAGAGATGGGATCTTCACTGATGATTGCACAATTTTCAACACCATTCATGACTTCTTATGTATTGAAGCAGTCCATGTCTAAATGCAGCAAGACCTGGGCAACATCGAGGTTTGGACTAACGAATGGCAAGAAACATTTGAACGACACAAGTGCCAGGCAATGACCATCTCCAAGAAACATCCCAAAACGTCACTCCCTCCAGCACCGAAGGTCAGCAGCAAAGTGTATCACCTACAAGGTGCACAAGGTCCTTTAAATAGCACCTTCCAAACCCATGGCCATTACCAACTCTAAGAACAAGGGGAGCAGATACATGGAAATACCACCACCTGCAAGTTCACTTCTAAGCCAGTCACCATCCATACTTGGAAATATATCACCATTCCTTCAACGTCACTGGGTAAAAATCCTGGACTCCATCCTTAAGATTATGGGTCTACCTGCACCAAATGGACAGCAATGGTTTAAGAAGTTAGCTCACTACTATCTTCTCAAGGGCAACTGGGAATTGACCCAGCATGCAAAACCCACATCCTGTCGCTCCAGTCTTTCAACCTATCGCAGAGACTTTCCTTTTGTCCTTGTCCCACCTATACCTTTGCTTAAAAATAGTTACAAATGAACTATTCCCAGTCCTGAAGAGATCTCTTTGACTTGAAATGTTGAATCTTTTTCGCTGTCCACAGATGCTGCCATAAACTGCTAAGTATTTCCAGAATTTTCTATTTTTTCCGGGGCCAAGAATGTTTTGTGACCCCAGCATGAAAAGGAAATTTTTATAAGTGATAAAAGGCAGGTAAATGCAGCTTGATCTGGTCTTTCCCTAAATTCTATGTCCTGTCTTCATCAATTGTACTGTCTTTGCGGTGATTTGATGGTGAAAAATATTTTTGTTGATTAGTGGGTAATTGTCAGTGATTACAGTAACACTAATTTCTTGGGGATTTCAGCTATACAGGAATAAAAGGTGGATAACTTTATTTCTGCCTCTTTACTGAAAGCATAAGGTTATTTATGATTTGTTTCCTAAATGTTAATAATGTTTACAGAATGACTGCTGAGCTGCTTCGTCTACTCTGTGCAGACTCTCAAGTGAGAGAACAGGTGAAGATCTATGAAGGAATTCCCATTCTGCTTAGTTTGCTGCATTCTGACCATCTCAAATTGCTGTGGAGTGTTGTATGGATTCTAGTTCAGCTCTGTGAGGATCCGGATACCAGCACTGAGATTCGATTGTGGGGAGGCATCCAACAATTCCTTCACATTCTACAAGGGTGAGTATAAAGAAAATAATATTAAACATAGTAAAGCACTATTTAATTTTACTCTTTCATTTGGCTATCTGAAAAATGTGATCTGACTGTATAATTTAAGCAAATTAAGGGTTTAGGAATATAAGTAAGAATAGGCATTCTGCAATTACAATTGGACTAACTTCAGGTAAGATCATATGATGTAGGAGCACAGCAGGCCATTCAGTGACATCATGGCTGATCTGATAATCCTGAACTCCACTTTCTTGCCTTTTCCCATAGCTCTTTATTCCCCTACTGATTAAAAATCTGTTTATCTCTGCCTTGAACATACTTAACAACCCAGCCTCAACAGCCCTCTGATAAAGAATTCCACAGATTCACTACCTACTGAAAGAAGAAAATTCTTCCTCATCTCTGTCTTAAATGTATGATTTCCTTATTCTGAGATTATGCTCTCTGGTCCAAAACTCTCCCATAATAGGAAACAATCTTTTCACATCTACCTTTCAAGTCCCCATGAATCTTGTTTGATTCAATAATTCTTCTGAGTTCATTCTTCTGAATTCCAACAAGTACAGGCCAAAACCATTCAATTCTCTTCATAAGACTGTTCCTCCCTACTTGGTATCAGCCAAGTGAATCTTCTCTGGACTGCCTCCAATGTCAGTATATTTCCTTAATTAAGTGGCCCAAAACTGATCTCAATATTACAGCTGGGGTCTGACCAGCAAATTTTAACAAAGCTTCCCTATTTTTATACTCCATTCCCTTTTGAAACAGAGGCCAATATTCCATTTGCATTGCTTATTATTGGCTGAACTTTGATGTTTGCTTTTTGTGATTCATAGATGAGGACTCCCAAATCCCTCTTCTGCAGCTTTCTGCAGCCTTTCTCCATCTAAATAATAGTCAGCTCTATTTTTCCTGCCATTATGCATAACACCACATTTTCCCACATTATGTTCTACCAGCCAAATTTTTAACCACTCACTTAGCTTGTCTATATCCCCTTGCAGAGATAGTAGGAACTGCAGATGCTGGAGAATCTGAGATAACAAGGTGTAGAGCTGGACGAACACAGCAGGCCAAGAAGCATCAGAGGAGCAGGAAGGCTGACGTTTCGGGCCTAGAAGGGTCTGAAGAAGGGTCTAGGCCTGAAACGTCAGCCTTCCTG